CATCATCCCTATACCTAAGAAAGCACATGCAATGTGCCTTAATGACTACTGCCCAATAGCTCTGACCTCAATAATCATGAAGTGCTTCGATGGTCATGGCCCACATCAACTTCAGTCTCCCAACCTGCCTCAATCCCCTACAATTTGCCTACTGATGTAACAGATCCACAGGGAGACGCCATATCCCTAGCCCTACAAGCATCCCTGGAACATCTGGACAACAAGACAGCTACGTCAGACTCCTGATCATTGACTACAGCTCTGCCTTAAACACCATTATCCCTCCAGACTGATCTCAAAACTCCGAGACCTTGGTCTTGGCTCCATCCTCTGCAACTGGATCCTCAGCTTTCTGACCCACAGACCACAATCAGTGAGGATGGGTAACTGCACCTCCTCCACAATAACACTCAACACTGGAGCCCCTCCTAAGGATGCGTCCTCAGACCCTTGCTGTACATCCTGTACATCCATGACTGTGCTGCCAAATTCTGAATGAACACCATTCACAAGTTCGCTGATGACATCACGTAGTAGGACAGATATCTAACAATAACGAGTTAAAATACAGAAGGAAAATAGAGGACTTAGTGAAGTCATGCAATGAGAACAACCTCTCTCAATGTTGCTAAGTTGGTATAGTAATTGTGGATCGGAAGACAGGGAATTAGAATTGTTTTCTAAAATGATAGAGGGGGCAAGTGCGTGGTCCCTTTAAAAGGTGTGTTCTTTTGGGCTAGATTTTTAAAAAGTCTGCAGGCAGCAGCAGATGCATAGACAGTTCTTGAAATTGAAATATTTTATCAAAAGGCTATACTGTTCGCAGGCAAAGCAGCATTTTTACTGAGACCACAGGTTTTTGAATTTAGCCAAGTAATTTAAATGAGGTCCTAGATACCAAAGCCCAGGTAAATTTGAATCTGATGACTTTGACAACCTCGGACTAATCCGATTGTAAGAAATTACTAGGTCATCAGGGTACAAAAGAAGAGGGCATTTGAAAACCGGGATGAAAGCAAACTGCCATCTGTTAAGAGAATAGCTCTCAACAGCCATCAGCTCTAAAGAAAGAAAAAATCACTGGCTCTCACAGAAATCTCTAAGATCTCAGAGTAAGCACCATCTAAATAAAGGTACTAGAGCACTCTTAGCTAATATTCCTGACACAAGAATTCAACGGAGGAAGGCGTTCCTAACTGAAGAACAGCGGAGAAGGCAAAGAACATTCCGGAAGATTTATCCTGGCTGTTATTTCAAGAGATTAAGCTTTAATTTATATTTTTTATTAATTTAGTTTATACAAGTGGGACTTGCATCAATTGGAACACCATACCATTAGAATTTTGTTTTGTTCTGGAATAATTAGTAGTTAAGTGGAAATTGTTCGGTTTGTTAGTAGTTCTGTTAATTTGTTCACTGTTAGAGTTAGATAAATAGTTACTTGTTGATGATAGAACGACTGCCAGGAGCTCATTTCATTTAGCCTCTCCTTTATAACAGATTGTGGGGGTGAGAAACTGATTATACCACTTTTCCCATTTCCTTTAACAGATTATGAGGTGAGGCGAGCTTCTCTGGGTGTTTCAGTTTTAGTTACCAGATGGGGTCGAGCTCCGCTTTTTAACACTCAACATCGGCAAAATTAGAGAACTGATCATTGACTTCAGAAAGAAAGGAGGAGAACACGCCTCCAGCTACATCAACGGAACTGAGGTTGAGAGGGCCAAGAGCGTCAAATTCCTCGGAGTGACGATAACTGACAAACTGTCTTGGACTTCCCACGTAGATGCGACAGTCAAGAAGGTACAACAATGCCTCTTCTACCTCAGGCGGCTCAGGAAATTTAGCATGTCCATAAGGTCCCGCACCAACTTCTACAGATGCACCACTGAAAGCATATTGTGCAGGTGCATAATGGCCTGGTATGGCAACTGCTCTGCCCAGGACCATAAGAAACTACAGAAGGTTGTGTGCATAACCCAGACCATCATGGAAGCCAACTTCCATCCATGGATGCATTTACAAAGCAGAAAGGCTGCCAACATCATCAAAGACCCATCACATCCTGGTAATGATCTCATACAACCTCTTCCGTCAAGCAGAAGATACAGAAGCCTGAATACATGCACTAACAGGTTCAGGAACAGCTTCTTCCTGGCTGTTATTAGACTGATAAATGGACTGTCTACCCTCAAATAATGCTAATCTTGCTAAAGTTAATCTTGCCTAGCACTCACCCTGTGCAATGTAACCTGTATGCCTCTATGATTTTTACAACCTTTTATCTGTTCATCCTTGCTTACTATGAAATGTCTATACTGCTCGTAAATAAAGTCTGTCACTGTACTCCGGTATACATGACAATAAATCAATCAATCCAAGACCAGCACATCCTTCTTTAAATATGGGGCCCAAACTGCTCACAGATGCGTATGACTATTCTAGCCATCTTGAAATGAATTCTAACATTGCATGTACCGTCTTAACTGCCAACAAAACTTGCATATTAACCTTAGGAGAATCATGAACTCAGACTCCTAAGTCCCTTTATGCTTCAGATTTCCAAAGTTTTTTTCCCAATTAGAAAACAGTCTACACATCTATTCTTCTTTCAAAGTGCACAACCTCATAATTTCCCACATTGTATTCCATCTGCTATTTCTTTGCCATTCTTCTAGCCTGTCCAAGCCCTTCTGCAGCCTCCCTGTTTCCTCAACACCACCTGACCCAGCTTCTAAATTTGTGTCATCCATAAACCTATCAACAACTCTCTCAGTTCCTTTCTCCAGGTCATTAATGTACAATGCAAATAGTTGTGGTCCCAACACTGACCCTTGCAAACTCCACCAGTCGCTGACTGCCATCCTGAAAAAGACCCCTTTAAACCTACTCTCTGCCATCCGCTAGCCAGCCAATTCTCTGTCCATGCCAGTGCCCTTAACACCAAGGACTGTTATCTTATTTAGCATATGACATCTTGTCAAAGGCCTTCAGGAAATTCAAACGGATCACGTCCACTAGCTTGCTTTTGTCTAACTTGTTTGTTACCTTCTCAAAGAATTCTAAAAGATTTGTCAGGCATGACATCCCCTTGGCAAAGTCAAGCTGTCTCAGTCAGATTTTTCCAGGTACTCTGTAATCTCATCTGACATAATGGACCCTAAAATCTTACCAACAACTGGTGTCAGGTTAACTGACCTAGAGTTTCCCGTTTTCTGCCTCACTCCCTTTTAAACAGTGGTGTTACATTAGCCGCTTTCCAGTCCTCTAGTACCCTTCCTGACTCCAGCGATTCCTGAAAGGTCGCCACCAATGCCTCTTCAATCTCCTCAGCCTTCAGAGCTCTGGGGTGTAGTCCATCTAGTCTGAGTGACTTATCTGCCTTCAGACTTTTCAGCTTCTCCAGCATCTTCCCCTTAATGATGGCCACTACACTCACCTCTGGCCCCTTACTCTTTTGAAATTCCAGTATGCTACTGGTGCTTCCACTGTGATGACTGGTGCAAAGTACCTATTCAGTTTCTCTGCCATTTCTTTGCCCCATTACTACAACGTCAGCCTCATTTTCCAACGGTTTAACGTCCACTCTTGTCTCTGTCTTACCATTAATGTACCTAAAAAAAACTGAAATCTTGTTTTATATTACTAGCCAGTTTACCCTTATATTGTATCTTTTCCTCCCTTACTGTATTTTTAAGTTGTCCTTTGCTGGTTTTTAATGACTTCACAATCCTCTGGTTTCCCACTAATTCTCACCACATTGTATGCTTCCTGCCACTATACCCCTCCCTGCCCCACCACCCCCACCCCCACCCCCACCAGAACCAGTCCAAGTTCCTCTGCAGCCCAGATGAGATTTCCTGAACCCAGACACATGTAGACAATGCAGCCGTTGGGACTGTCAAATTTGGTCACAGAGAACAGTGTCTAAGCCACTGACTATACTATCCTCAATTACAATTACATTTCTCTTTTCTCCCCTTTCTCAGGCTCCTAGATCCCTCTACCTGCCTTGCTCATAGTCACACCCTCCTGTCCCTCACCACTGATCAAATTCAAGGTCGCCAATGAAACAGGTGTGATTGCCTCCTGAAACACAGCATCAAGGCAATTCTTCCCCCTCCCTGATGTGACTCCAGACTCCAGTTCATCAACACCAAGTTAGAGTTCCTCCAGGACCCAACATTTGCTACAGATGTGGTCACTACAAACCACAATAAAAAGACCTTGCAAACTCTGGAGCAAAAGACCAAGCAAAAAGCACCTCTTTGCCTCCGCACCAAATTCTCACACTGCTCCAAAGTCCCCAAACTATACACTCATTTGGGCTGTGTCTCACTCCAGATGAGATTTCTCCTTTCTGACCATGCAAAGCTTGCTAAGCTGCTCGTTTCTGAAAATTGTAACTGAGAAAGGTCAGAAATTTGTTGAAAATTTTATTCACAAGGAAAATCGTACATAAACACTAATTGCAGAGATCTTTAGATTGTAACTTACTCTTTCAAGCTGTAATTACGATCGCACAACAGTCTCTCATTTTCTTGCTGCAAGTGTTCATTTTTGTCTTGGAGTTCTCTGTTGCAATGCAATACATAATCGATGAGTCCTTTAATGACTTCTGTTGAGTCTGAGACTTTTCGCAATTCCACAGAGCCAAGTTTAAACTGGACAGAAACAAAATGCAAATGCCAAAATGTAAATCAAAAGCACTGATTTGCCAAACCTCAAATCTGGCCCAGAACTTGCTGGAGCAGCAGATTTCCCCTCAAGTAGCATCAATTGGAACGTTTACCTCGTCCATCAAATTGCTAATGCTGGAAGGGCCAGTTGATATTGTTGCAGCAAAGCACTTTATTCTATCTAGGACCACACAAACATTATGGGCAGAAGTTTCCTTAAGCAATAACATTTAAGTATAAAAATGTGTGTGGACAGCAATGGAAAATGCAAAGTTAGAATATGCCAGGGCAGCTTGGCCAAGTGGAACGTACAGCCTGTGGACTGTGGGAAATCATGAATGCACCATATGTCCAGGATAAACACATTGGCAGGAAATGTCACAGATTTACAACCCTTTGAGAGCAATAATTTCTCTTCATCTCTGTTTTAAGTCTGCTCCAACTTATCCTAAAATCATGACCTCTCATTCTGGATTTCCCCATGAGGAAAAATCTCAGGTGGATGCCTGGGTATTGACGAAATTGAAGGAGGAGGTAGACAGATTTTTAATTATGAATGGGTTGAAAGGTTATGGCAAGCAGGGGGGAAAATGGAGTTGAGGCTGAGATGAGATGCAATGATCATATTAAATGGTGGAGCAGGCTCGAAGGCCTGAGTTGCCTACTCCTGCTCCGAATGCTCATGTTTCCATTTGTGCGAAGCTAAAAGAACAGCCACATAAATCCGTCAATAATTTGTGGTAAATGCAAATCATATCATATCAATTGCTTGACACAGCTGGCTGGATTATTTATGCAGTGATAATAGTGAGAACTGCAAATTTCAGATAACTTTCCAATACTGAACATTATTTCTCCATCCACAAAATTTACCACTTTCATAACATAAAACATAACATCTACAAGGCAGATATACTTGCAATTCAAAATAGAAACAAAATGTCTAAATGGTTAGTGAAGAATACATTTTGTAGAAAGCTTTTCAATATTTGATCAAAAATGCAACAGCAGATAACTTATCAATATTTAACGGAAAATAAAACATTAAATGGCACAATACCTGGTCAGAACATAAAGATTTAATCAAAACACTGAATGCTGTGAGAGAGAAAATGGTGTCATTAGTTCAACCAGACTTGAGCTACTGAGTGACACATGGTGGTCTCACATCTAATTATGACTGTCAGGTAGTGAGCTGTGGAACTATCCAAAAATACCTGACTTGATAAGTGGAGATGAGCAGAAGCACATTCCAAAACACTCCTAAAAGAGCTTCACGTTTGGCACATAGCAAACTTATTATGGCTCTATGGGAAGTCATGTGGAGGAAGAATCTTCAAAGCATCTCCCCAAGTTCTATTAATAACAGTTAAAATGGCTACGTAACTGTTTCTGGTCACAAATTTACAAAAAATGAACGACAAATAATTTTGTGATACATTTTCTGCAACAGCATTGCCACCGTTAATGCTTCACCTACTACTTAATGAAATGTCAATTCATTTAATCAATCCTAAGTACTGTGAGCAAATGGGAATACAATAAAAAAGTTAAAAATCCAAGAGATTCTAATGTATTCAATACATTGCTAGGAATAAGTTGCATTAATATTTTGTTCTCTGTGTTAAAAAGAGGGAGACATTGATTTAGTTTAATTTCTTAAAGTTGCTCTGGTCAGCTTGTTGCCAAGAAGTTTAGAGGTCTGTCTGTTTACTCAGATTCTAATAAGGTTTTACAACCCTTGAAATGAAGAGATGGGGTCATAGTTTATTACATTAAAAAAATGAGAATGGAAAGAATTGTGCTTTTGTTTAAGGAACGAGGTCCCAGGATAAACAGAACAATCCAGGAGGGTATCACTTAGTCAGTATGTGTGTGCGCTAGAGAGTGGATGCAGGAGTTCTGAACTTCACAGTAAGAAATCCTACACAGATGATGAAAACAGAGTTTAGGGAACTCAAATTTCAACGAACAAGCACACCACCCATCTTTAGCCAGAAAGGTCAAAGACAGCATCAAACTTAAAGAAAAAGCATATAATTGTGTAAAGACAGATGGTGGGTTAGAAAATTGGAAGTAATATAAAATACAGCAATGAATAATGAAAAAAAGAAAAAAATAGAGCATAGAGAAATTTGCCAGAAATACAAAAACATGTAGTGACAGTCCATATAAATATTGAAAATAGAAAAGATTATGAGCATTAGTCCTGCAGAAAGTAAGTTTGGAAAATTTAAAATGGAAAATAAAGAATGGCAGATGAACTGAACAGGTATTTTGTATCAGCTTTCACTATAGATGTTTCAAAGAACATCCCAAAAGCAGCCACAAATCAGGGTATGTGAGGGAAGTAGGAACTGAGGAAAATTACAATCAACAGAGAAGTGGTACTGAATAAATTGTTTGAGCTGTGGGCTAATAAGTGTTCAATCCTTGATGGATTTCATCCTGAGAAGTGGCTAGTGAGATAGTTGATGCATTGGTTTCAACTTTCAAAAACTCCCAATTCGGGGAATGTCTATTTAGATTAGTAGTTAGCAGATGTATCAACTTTGTTCAAAAAGGGAGGTAGACTGAAACCAAGAATCTAAAAAAGCCAGTTAGATTAACATCTGCTGGAGGGAAAATGTTAAATGCTATTATTAAAGAATTTATAGCAGAGCACTTTAATAATTTCAAGGTAATCAGGCAGAGTCAACATGAGTTCCTTATTACCTGGTGAACTTGGATGCTAGCTTTTTAGAAGAACTCCCTGAATGTAATAGTACTGAAATCAGATAGGCCACAATGTTGATGGTTAGACTATTGCAAAGTCGGCGTAACAACAAAGATGGATTTATATTTAAATCCACAACTAAAAGCAAGAGCAGAAATTTCCCTCGAAACTCAGCAGGTCTGGCAGCATCTGTGGAGAGAAAACAGAGTTAACGTTTTGGATCCAGTGACCCTTCATCAGAACTGGATCAGAAGAAGGGTCACTGAACCCGAAACATTAACTCTGTTTTCTCTCCACAGATGCTGCCAGACCTGCTGAGTTTTCCCAACAATTTCTGTTTTTGTTTCTGATTTCCAGCATCCACAATTCTTTGGTTTTTTTTTCTGTTTCACAATTAAAAGTCTGTATTGAGAGAACTGGACAAACAAGGTTTCTAAAAACTGGACAATTGCATTGAAGGGTAATGTCAAAGAAATATCAGCATTTGTAATCCCAAATATATTTTATCAATGCACATTCATGCCTTACAGAATGAAAAACGGACTTGCAAATTTTCAAAGCTAAGCCAATTTGAATGAACTGTTTGATTGGCTACCAAGTGTCAGTTTGGTCATAAACTTGGCAAAAAGTAAATTTTCTAAAGTAAAAGTAACTTATTCAGACCATACTGTGGGACAAGACCCAGCAGGACCAGGAGAAGCAAAAATAAAGGCTCTCTCAGATTATCCAGTGTCTGAGAGAAAACAAGAAACTATATGGTATATATGCACAAGTAGATTCTATTGGAAGTTTCTTACAGATCTCTGCAATGTCCGAAACAAGCATATTAAAGGAAGGCAAGATGAATCAATAAAGGAACATTAACAGTACCTTTGACTGCTCGAAAGATGTACTGACTATCATACTGGTTTTAGTAGTACCAAACTCTGCTAAGCTATTTTAACTTGTCGTTGGTATCAATGACATAGGATGCAAAATTTGAATCCAATGGCCAGTCAGTTACAATATTCTGAGATAACAAGGTGTAGAGCTGGATAAACACAGCGGGCCAAGCAGCATCAGAGGAGCAGGAAAGCTGACGTTTCGAGCCTAGTGTTCATCCAGCTCTACACCTTGTTATCTCAGATTCTGCAGCATCTGCAGTTCCTACTATCTCTGTAACAGTTATAATATTCTGCTGTGTAAGAAGAGACTTGGAGTTTTACATTGGCTGTAAAGCTTTCTGAAGTCCAAAAATCCAACAACTCTTCAGAGACTGATACTTATATGAATGGTAATCCTCAAAACTAAGTAGCAAAATTTCACACCAAGAATCTGAGACAGGTTCATTGGAGTTTAGAGCCATAACCATACACTTTGAACAATATTCATGCTGTACGAATACACAATATCATAGCAGATGCCATATTGAACAAGCATAGAGGAAATCAAATGAGGTGATCAAAATGGACTTGCGGCGAATCCAATTTTGGGAACAGTCCTTGTCTGTTTGATGTAAATACAGTCCTGCTGCCAAATTAAAATCTGTATAATCGGTATGAGTAAGAGAAATAGTGATGTCTAATAGAAAATGGCTTTTAAACATACTTTTTCATTTTTTTGCAGGAAGGTGTTTTGGAATAATGTCTAACATTAATATGTATGTTTTGTGCTAAGGAGAGGGAAACATGGTTCCAGGTTAAATTTTTCGAAAATATTCACAGAATCATAGAATCCCTACAGTGTGGAAGCAGGCCATTCAGCCCAATGAGTCAACACAGAGCCTCCAAAGAGTATTCCATCGAGACCCACCCCCTTACTTTTTCCTGCACCTCCACATATCTCATGGCTAACCTAGCCTGCATATCCCTGGACACTATGGACAATTTAGCATGGCCGATCCACCTAACCTGCACATCTTTGGACTGTGGGAGGAAAGCAGAGCACCAGGAGGAAACCCACTAAGACACAGGGAGATGTGCAAACTCCACACAGACAGTCACCTGAGAGTGGAATCGAACCCAAGACTCTAACGCTGTTAGCAGTGCTAACCATGGAGCCACTGTGCCACTTTTGCAAGCTTAGTGCCAAGCGCTTATGAGTTGTGCAGTAGCCTAGTGACAGGTGTCTCACCATTCACACAGAAACAGAAAAACCCAAGAGAGAGTCAGTGTGTAAGAACCGGAGAGATAATGCAGGACTGCTACACTGTATGGTAAGATATCCTGCAACATGACAAAACATACATGTAAAATACAAAAACAGAAATTGTTGGAAAATCTCAGCAGGT